GGACACATAGTGCCTGGCGCTGCTAAGCACATCTTATCTCAGAGCGGATGGACTTCCCAGAAGCTTATCATGAATTTTATTGGCATACGGCTTGCTTCGCTGATGTATTTTAACTGTTCACAGTATCTGAGAATCACGAATTGTTTCTCACCTAAATAATGGAAAAATTGAATGAAAAAATTATAAGAGAAAAATTCATGGAATAGAACGAATTCCTTAATTCGGCAGGGGTCAAGCAGCGGATCCATAACTTTTCGTTCTGTTTTCACACATAACTCAAAATCCTTTGCTTAACTTTCTCAAAGTTCTATTGACCGTTTCATCGAAAAAATCGATTATGATGGTCCTCACGACGATTCACACTGGAAAGCTCAGCGTTCTGAGAAAGCCGGAAAGTGCAAGAGAGGAAGTAAAGGACGTGCCTAATCCTTTATTTATCTCGCCTGGAAAATTCCAAAGCGAGCTTCTTCGAAATAGAGAAAATAAAAATAGGTAGAAATCGAAGCTCCAGAAGCAGTGATGGGGCAGTAAACAACTACGGAGATAAGTACGAGAATGGAGAAGTTTTAGTCATCAATTCTTTTCGCGAGATGCGCCCCGTACTTGACTGTCACTTGAAAACATAGAGGGTAATAAATGGTCTCACTCCAATAGCTCATTATGTTCTCCTAAACAACTCATCTACCAATATTCTCGTAACCCTGGGTTGGGTTAGAAAGGGACAAGGACTTGATCGGCTAGGACCGTGTGAAGGTGGTGTCATAACTTTAGCCACTGCGCTACATCTAAATATTTTGCATTTTTTAAACTCAACCGCACTTATAGGAGGATAAAAGGAAGTAAAAGGGAATTGAAATAATTGCCAGTTTTGTTTGTTTGTTCCTCTTCTTTGCAAGCCTCTCCAATAGTGAGTAGCTATCATTATAGATTGTGTGATTGGAGCTTATTGGAGAATTGGAGTCAATAGTGTTGCTGCCAAACACAAACAATTCGAGAATGGGTCATTGGAAACAGGAGAAATAGAAAAAAGTCAAAAAGAAGATGAAATAGCAAGTAAAGGCGTCGTCAAGGGGAGCATCACGGCAGAATTTAGCATCTGTGATGAGCGTGTCCCGTTTTTCAATAGAGTTAGTGAAGCAATCGCGCTCCGTTATCCAGCAGGGACACTAGGTCATTCGTTCAACGTGTATGTGTGACTCGTGCACTCTACTCCGCCCCGTAAATGTGATAATGCACAGGAAAGGAAACGAGAATCAACATGGAGAGAAGCCGTTTCCTTAATATCTAGTAAACATCTGTACAGAGATCATTGGTGAGAAAGGCGCCACCTTGACTTGTACAGTCTAAAGACCACACCCTGCCTGAGTCACCGAAACTTTCCATCCTTTCGATGTCACATCTAGCCTTGTTGAGAGAAAAGTACAGCTGTTGGCCTCGGCAAGTCGCTGTAAAGGCCAGGTATGCATTCAAAGTCTCTCAAACTTGACCATAGGTCGTATGCATGGCGCATCCAGAAAGAGAGAAGTAAGTTCCGAGCATGTCACGTAATATAAATGGTGGATAAGCAGCAGAACACTCAGTATCCTTCAGGATCCATAGGTTTTATTCTGTTCTGGCCCAGAAAATTTCGATTTTAGTTATTCTAGCTCGATACAAAGATTACAGGCCCCCCTCATTCTCACACCCTCAGTATTCATTAAGGCAATATTTTACTTAGTTACTATTATTCGTCTAACCATATAATTATTAATACTATTCTTAAATTAATATTTTATTAACGGGCCGACAAGTGTGTGCAGTTGGCAACTACGCCTCACCACACGAGACGGGTCCGGGGATCAATCCTGGGGTCGGAGTCGCTGGGCAACAAGCTGTCATTTCTCCGGGTGTGTTTAATGAGGTACAGACTTGTCATGTAGAAAAAACACTGTCATGAAACATGGCTAGCTCCCGCACTGTATTAGGTACATCGCATTTTCAAATGCATCTGCGAATTGACAATGTAAGTGAAGAATCACTCCGCTATCCATAACTTTATTGTATCAACGAGCAATTGCTTTTATCCTTTTTAATTTATCATCTTAATATTATTAACATCATTGTGAACGCGTTGTAACGAGTTTCCCGATCTTTTATGAGAATTTTCAAAATAAATCATCAATTAATCGCATAACAGATTAAATCATCCATAAACTTTTTTGTTCGGCTTTGAAAACGAGTTTGTGAAAAAACGTTTGTTAGAAATCAATCGAGAGAATACAGAATCATTCAACTAAAAGGATCTCTTTCGGCACGAATCAACAGTGGTCCGGCCCCCTGCGACATACTAGTGACGCATTGACTGCATTGTTTATTAATTATTATTGAAATGTTTCCTATAAAGCTGACTCCGTGCCCAAATATTGATCGAATGCTATGCATATTCTGGACAATATCCAATCAATGAAGCGCTGATCCTTCGTTTAATGATAAAAAAGTGTAAACAGTCTGGTATAACAACTACTAGGCATCTATTTGTCTTAGCGTGTCCATTGCCTATTTGCTAAGGGCGGAAATGTTTACGTGATGTAGTCGGAGTCAACGATTTGTCGGGTCTGTTGCTCAGTTTTCCCACCATCAAAAACCAAAAACGTAATTGGATAGCACCAAGGCCAAAGTGGGACCACAGCTCATAATTTCACGCGAAGTCGCTTTTCTTTCTATTTGAATCTTAATCTTCAGTGAGGTGTAGAAACGAGAAAAAGAAAAGAAAAGAGAAAAATGAGGGTAACACGTGATGCGGACGTCCTTGAGGGCTATGCGATTACCAGATTATGATCTAAATGGATTAAGTGATTAGTAATAGCGCACATTTACCGGAAGTAATGAGATAAGTGCTACCATCGTTATCTGTAATTAATCTGCTATTCCAATTACGACAAGAAGCCAAAAATGCAGAAAAATGTTCGTGTTCAACCAACAAAGGAGGGTGAGCGCTGAGATGGCAGGCTTATCAGAAGTGATATCATTGTTTGGTAACAAAATTAGGCTTGTGTGACAGCTGACCTTCACTGTTCGCACTGAAAATGGACAATAAATGCTAGACATGGCTTCTCAGTCAAACCAGAGTACAACTGAATTGTTTCGAACCCACGGGTAATGGAATATCTGTAAGGAAGGAGAGAACTGTCTAAGGGCTTCCGTGGCACCTTCACAACCCACATGATCAAATTCCGCTGAGGTCTACATGTCTAAGCATTCCCGCATCGATTTCCTATCTGCATCTGCTTGTTTGGAAGGAGAAAGATTCGAGTTCTTGGGAATTTGACTTCATTCGCGTCACTGGGTTGTTTCTGTATGCGTTGGAATATTTTTCTGCTATTTTACATCAAAAACAAATGCATGGCGCATCCCAGAAGGAATTGTCTGCTTGTATTCAACAAATGTCTATATTTATCCCCTTCCCCTGTGCCATCAGCATTCTAATAACGGGGACCGATTTTTATAAATCGTGTACCAAGCAGGAGCTGTCAGAACACCAAGAGAAATGATTGGTCTCTTTGATAATATAGTTTCTTATCACTGGCACACGCACAAGTTTTTTGATCAGCTAAGAACGCGATAATTACACGCTCCTGTCAGTTGCATGCCAAAGGTAAAAACGGTTCGAACAAGGTTCAATTGGTGGTGGAGCTCCATGTGAACAAGCAAAACACGATGCTTTCTTCTAGTGCGCAGTTAACCGGGAAAACCAACCAGAATCTTCGTCAAAACTTTTTTACATATGCATTGAGTACAATAAAAATTATTGATTTTGTATATCTGGACTGTTCTGTTTATAACCAAAATTACTTTTGTTTTTCGATCTCAATAGTGCTTACATGTCACTTTTTTCAAACTCTCCGATATAGGGGTTAGGATTCAAAGAGTAGTTTAAGTCTAACGTTTCGCACTGCCTTAGATGCCTTGCGCCGGGCACTTTCGGGCCTATAGTTTCAGTTTCCATTTCCTTCTATGCTAGCTTACATCTCCTTGCAGCGATGCTTGTTCTTGTTCCACTAAATTGGAACGTAGCCAGAAAAGCGTTGCTGGCAATGGGCTACTGAAATGGAGTCTTTCATGCCATTGTGATAGATTTTACCACTGAACAAATTATACAGCGGCAGTACCAGTACGATATGCCTTCACGAATAAACTAGGAGGCAAGATTGCTTTATGAGTGATCATGGATTTCAAGTAAATGCCGGTTGTAAACAACTAGTGGAAGATTGACGCTGACAAATGGAGGCGTTAAAAGTTAGGTAATATGTAGTACAAGTTAATAAGTAAGGGCTATAGTAAAGTTATAAGTATAGTAAGCTATGTAGAGCTCTCCAAAAAGGTGTGGGAAAATGGTTTCGTGCGTATGCCTGACAATCTTGTAATACCAGAAAGATCTTCCTTTTTGGCTTCACGTTGCGACCCTCTCTTCCCAGGGCTGAAGATTCAACGACTAGGAGCTCTAGTTACGCTGTGCTAGCGGCGAGGTGGTCACTGGTGAGCGAACTTGAGCCAAGTGTGCTACTGATTGGTTGGAATCTTGGCCTTCGAGAAGCCAGAGGTCGAATGTCGAGAGATAAAGCAATAGGAATCTCATTTAGCAACTTCATTTATAAAATAGTTCGACAAAAATATCAAGGTTTCGACAAGAGATGGCATGGAAGTTGGTAAAGAAGTCCAAATGCTACACATCGGAAGGTCCGATAGGGTCGTAAAATCGCAAGTATAAAATGTGATTGATAGGAATGGGATGGCAAAATGGCTAGAGGCGCCGTATCGCACTTCTATAGTTAGTTAGGACAAAAATACTGATCAGAAATATGTCGAAAAACAAAAGAAATCAGTGAATAGTAAATAATTTAGAGAATACCGATGTTACCCAATTTCAGCACGCTGCCGCATTAGAACACTTGAAAAATCACTTGGTTGACGGCGCATATGCCCTGGATGTTGGATCAGGTTCTGGATACCTCACAGTTTGTATGGCGCTTATGGTAAGTATTCTACACTCTGGAAAATTGAAAAATCCTAAATATCAAGCGGCAAGGTATTAGTGAAGTCGAGCCATCTCATCGACTTTCATGGAAATGAGGATATCAGTAGGTTCATCGACTGAGTTTAGAAATAGTCTTTAATATCGCATTGGAAGGACATTTCACATCAAAGCAATTAATGAGTCCAAGGCTGCGTTGCTGCCTTATGGGGCGGGGGGATGGAGCTCAGGCGGGTAAGTTTTGCATCGGACTTGGAGTTTATCCAGTTTATCATGATTGTGACTTGCCCTAGTCAGGATTGAGGTCCTGGCCGTGTAGGACCATTAAAGGGCCCATCATTGGGCTCGGGATTGCTGCAATGCTACGGCAGAAAAGCTGAATGCACCCTGCCGACAAACTTTACCACCTCCCCTATGCCACCAGTACTTCGCCTTTCGTTCTTGCTTGACTTGCTTTTTTCAGAAGGGCAACCACACCCCGAGATTTGTTTCAAAGACTTTCAGTTGATCTTTACAGATCGGTAGCAATGGAAAAGTGGTTGGTATAGAGCACATACCAGAACTGGTCACATTAGCAAAGAAAAACACCGAAAAGCACCACGCCGATCTTCTCAGCAGTGGAAGAGTACTGTTCGTGGAGGTTAGTGGGAAACTTCAAATGCCATTTCTGAATATTCGCTTTCACAACATTTCATTTTACAGCTTTCTAAATATGTTTCACTATATAATACTTCACTACGTTTTTTCATTTTTTTTCAAAATCTCCCAACAAACATGTTCTGAGAGTGAAATAAGCTCTAGCTATATCTCTGATTGTTTTCAATTTTAAACCACAAAAGGATCGAAAGTGAAGGCATGCTGGTTGATTTCGTTCTAAGGCAGACCCCCTCCAGTCATGCTCACAGCGTAGAACTCCTTCTGAGGCAGGCTCCCTCCAATCATGTTCCCTACGCAGAATCACCTCGCTGGTCATTTGCGGAAGTGAAGTGCACCTTAAACAATCGAGCCGCAATTTTTCCTCACCGAAACTCGGCACGCTTGCAAACCACTCGGCCTCTTGTATTGGTATGCCTTGACGTTTCAAACTCTCCTGAGAAATGCGATCTCAGTGTGATTCACACCTGTTCATGCCTTTGAGTGAACTTTCAACCCGAATTATGGTTTGAAGAAATTTTTCAGGACTAGCGATAAGTGTCCCACTTTCCCTACAAGTGGAGTTTCGGAGCATACAATTTTTTATTACTAGTTTTCGGTAAATGATAGCTTTCTTGAAAAACTCCTGCAAAGCCTTTCCATCCCCATGT